CCCTGTGGGTGCGTTTCCTCAGTGGCGCACTTCACGTTCTGAGGGGACCAGGCGGCTCCTTCCACCTCCTTCTCCAGGGGCACAAAGGCTAGGGGAGGGACAGGCGTCCCCAGCCCTGCCCAGTAGCGCCACTGACCTTGAAGTGCCCTTCCCACCCAAGGGAACCATGCTCTTCTGGGGAGGGCTGGGGGCAGCAAGAGCTGCCCGTCTTGTCACTGCAGACAAGAGGGCCTTCACAGAAGGGCCACGGTGCAGTCTGGGAAGTGTGGCAGTAGCCCAAGTTCATTGTGCCTCAGAGCAAAAACACAAGGAGCAGACTCGGAAAACCTCACGTCCAGCACTTGGAGGACCTTGGGGAACTGGCCGGTTCTCCAAAGCTGGCGAGTGGAGGGGAGGAACCAAGCGCTCCCCTTGCCCTACCTCCTGCCAAAGAGTTAGTTGCCTGAGCCACGGGCCACTGGCCTGGGCCGCCCCCGCATTGCAGCTGGAACCCAGTGAGTAGAGGGAGGGGAAGCCACAGCTGGGACAGCTATGTCCCCACGCTAGCGAAGCCAGCTGGGCAGTGAGCACGCAAGGGCCACGAGGCCTGGCATATCCGGCTCGACTCAGGAGGTGCACCTCACTGGCAAGCCCAAGCTGCTCCCCTCCCGCTCCCCAGACCCAGCCTGCAGACTTCGGGAAACCCAGGCAGGCTGCCACCCTGGTCTATGCCCGCCCCGTCTGCACCACTCCTGGTCTATGCCACCTTCAACTACCCTACCCTCGTCTACCCACTCTCCTCTTCACACGTTCACCTCCCCCACCCCAGTCTACGCCACAGGTCAACTGGCGCAGTGCAGACTGGTCTGACTTTGGGCACATGTCCTGGGGTGAGAAGGGTGGGGGGTGAGGGATTTCACATCAGCCAATCACAGAGCTTGGTCCTTTGGGTGCTGATTTGAACCACGGTGTAGAAATGCCTGGGAGGCCATCAGAGGCGCATAAACGCCCGTGGCTGCCAAGCCCCTGGAGAATCGGTCCCTGTGGCTGCTGGTTGGGGCCCTTCTGGAGCTGCTCAAGGTGGCCCCTTGCCCGAGCGAGCGAGGGAGCCAGCTTCAGGCCGAGAGGTGCGGTGGGGGCACGGGCCGGTCGGATGGTCCTGGAACCGGGTGGTGCTTAGACCCCTGGAGCGGACCACGTGCGACTGCCTCCTCGGCTTCTTGTGTGTTTTTAAATTTTTCCACACAAACAAACAGAAAATCTGAGGTCACAGCTCACCAAGATGAGGCGGACATGGGGGGACAGCAGGCTGGGAAGCAGATGGCCACGCAGCGGCCCTGGGTGAAGGGGTGCTGGGCAGAGCTGCGGGCCACAGGCTTAATGCCACCACTGCCTCAGCAGGCACCCTCTCCTCTGGGGCCGGCGGTGGGCAAAGCACACATAGCAGACCCTTCCCTCCCGGCCCCAGGCCGGGTGCTGAGCCTCTCCCACCGGCACTGGCAGGTGGAGCTGTAGTCTCTGGAGAATGCAAACCAGGGCCTGCTGGCCTGGGGGCCCCCAGTCCTGCGCAGGCTCCCCCATTCAGTCTTCTGAGGGCCTGATCTTCACCCCCTGGCCAGACATACCTGTGGGCTCATCACAGAGAAGCCGGCCAGTGTCAGGAGTGCCCTCCCCTGCTGGACGTGTGCACCCCGATCACTGGCCCCTGCACTTGCCGACCATGAGGCTCCCATCTGCTCACAACTTCCCAGCCCGGCCCAGAACCCGGTTTCGCTTGGCATCTTGTCCCCAGCGGGACGATCGAACCCGGAGGAAACAGACGCGCTCACAATTCTCCTGACTGTCCCTGGAGATCAGAGAAGACCCGGCTCCCATGGGGCAAGAACAAGGGACCCGGAAACAGGGATGAGAGGCCACTCCTCTCCGTGCGGATATGTGGTTTGTCTTCTGGAAGCAGATCCTTTGAGGGCTCAGGGCAGCGGGGTGGAGAGTGAGGAAGGCGAGACAAGGACGGGGCCTTGAGTTACGGCCGAGGAATGCCGACAGTACTGGAAGAACACAGCTGTGTCTTGGAAGAAGTGCGGCCAGAGCGCTCCTGAGAAGCCAGGATGGCGGGACTCATCTCATGGACTTTGGCCGTGTTGTCAAGAGCAGTCCCTGGGGAAGGGCATGGTGCTGGGTGAAGTGAGGGCGGCGAACAGAGGAAGGCCAGGTGGAGGGCACAGCGCTGCGACCATGGACGCAGGCACAGGCAGAGGGGAGGGGGATGCAGGCACAGGCAGAGGGGAGGGGGACGCAGGCCAGCGCGGTGTCGTCCCTTTGCGCATCCTCGGGTCACTATGGGTCAGAGCCAACCTGGTGGCACCCGACAACCACACTGGAAGTGTCAGCGCAGGAGGCCCGAAAACCACCTTGTGCACCTTCCTCATTCACCTGAGGACCTGCTCTTCCCCCAAGAAGCTGTGTGCCGGGCTCCATGACCCGGAGGGGGCCCCAGGAACACAAAAGCCAAAACTAGGCTGCTCACAGCCCAGGTTTTCTGTTGGAAATCCGTTCCTGGTCCTCCTCCTCCTCAACCAGCTACTGCTGGGGGGTGGGGGGGTTATAAGGACGTCTGGGAGGCTGCCCTGGAAGCTGAAGACTGGGGCTGAAGGGCTGCACCCCCCCAGCCTCTAGTCCAGCAGCGACAGCATCTCCCTCTCCTCGCCCCCCCCCTCCCCCCGTGGGTGCCGTCCTCGTGGCTTTGCAGACTCAAGAACAGATGCCAGGGCTTTGTGTGGATGGTGTGATCGTGGGGCGTAAGTGGGAGGATTATATGTGGAGGCCAGGCATGTGACTATGGAGAATGCATGTTGGTGCATGTGGAGGCTGAGCGTATGACAGTGGAGAATGTATGTTAGCGCATGTGTAGTCCAGGTGGCATGAGCACCGAGAAAGAACCCGTGGAGTCCACTTGAAGCCTGCCTGGTGTGACTGTGGGCTGTGGTGAGGCGGAAGTAGGGCCGGGAGAGAAGGCGGTGTGCTCTCTGAGGGAGGCAGCACCAGTGTGGACTCCGAGTCCTTCCACTTAACCTTGGCTCTTGGTGGACTGG